GTATCCAAGTTTTTTAACCATTCGTTAAATATCGATTTGTCATCCAAGAAGGTTCATTTGACGATAATCACAGGGAAATGCCCAAACTTCATCAAACATCGTACATTTGCTGAATTCCTACGATCAGTGGTTCTAAATTTTGTTCTAACAGTTAAGTCGAGCTGCAGTACAACAGGGTACTTAAATCCTGTTATTTTTTAATATTTTCTATCCTCTGGATCAGTCTCCATTGACACTCAGTGTACGGTGGTATAGAAGTAAGTAATAGAGCATCCCTGTCTCATTAGCATGAATACAAAATCACTGACATTATATTTTAAAAGTATTTTGTCATTTCACAAGCACGCCATTCATTAATTCGACCTTGTTGTACGTCATTCTTTTCTCCATAGATTACCATGGAAACTATTCTATGTCATTATCGATATCTGTTGAGCCATCCAACATTTTTCTGAAAATTTTCTGCCTTAAAACATAATTCACGTAAGATTGGAGCATTAGCACGGATATTTCTTGACCGAACATCGTAATTTGTGTCGTAATATAAAGTGTTTCGAATCTGTTTTCTTTAGGATCCTAATGCTTTCTGTTAAATTTTGTCTTAAATCTTTATGCGATCTTTTAAACAATGCCGAGGAGAAATGCCAAATTCTTTCGCAACATCACTTTTCTTCTTCCCAGTGTCTGTTGTTTCCAAAATAGCCAACTTTCTTTTAACGTGAATTGTCCTCATTTTCGGCTCCTTTGGTCCATTTTACTGGTCTCCGTAATCAATTAGTTTAATAACCCTGTTATCCGTAATAATTTTAACTGCAAATAGTACAGTATACAAAATAATTTGCGACACACCGTCGGAATTGACATTAACTCCATCAGCGTAATGAGGAAAACTTCTTACCTAAACAGGTGTAACTGTCGCAAAACGGTCGGGTCACAAGAACACAAGAATCACAACCAAGAGCTAAATCAGGACACCTGTTTTGACAGTTGGACTGTCACTTTCAACTGTGAGGGTGTTAATTTTTATAAGTACAGTACACAGTACGCTCGAGCAACGCGCTATTCCAAGATTGAACAATCACACTTACGGAGTATCACTGAAGGAAATAAATAAAATTGCAGTAATACGTGAAATATTTCTTTCAGGTCTTCCATATTTTATTGTTTATTTGTTCATTTCATAATGGATTATTGTGCCGAACTTTGGATGAAACCCAGTCATCATTGTGCAGTGCTGTTCAGACCGAAAACAGCGGATTTAAGTCAAAGTAGGTTCCCTTCAGCAAAGATAAACGTAATCGATGTTTGTTTTTGCGCACGTATGAATTGTTACGTTTATTAGCCATAGATTTCCTTTATACTGAGAGGTTGATTTCGCTATAACAAGATTTATTTACTACATATAATCAATTAAGAGCCAAGAACAATGAATTGTTCGTCATATTGAAAATTTCGTCTTTTGTAAGATCATTTATTTATTTATCCGTTTGATAGTTCGTCACTATTTTAGAAGTTTTTTCTCATGCATCAAGACGTCAACATTCAGGCAGACTCAATGGGCCAATAGAATAGGCTTCAAATCAGGTAATTCAAGGTGTTTCATTTGCTAGAGCCATTGGAGGATCGTCGGTCTGGATTTTGGACGCTTACAATTTTAATTGTGAAAAGAGCTCTCCTTTCAAGTCTGCCTAACGATGGCGTTATTCTGATTGCGCATCGCAAGATTGCCGCTGTAATTTTATGTTTTGACGAAGGAGCTCTTCACAAGCAGGAGTTGTATTTGAGTCCTCTCCGCCTGAGACGATGTTTAGAAAAAATCTCTGTTGCTTCTGCCAGAATAACATCCTGCAAAGAATGTCCAGCATTTGAGACCATATGTGAGAACATGTACTTTAACTAACATGATTCAGATTACCATTCAGCTCCTTTTTCGTGACCATAAATCGAATTGACTACCGCATTACCACCAACAGAGGGGGCATCTCACTGTTTTCTGCTGCCATTCATAATTATTGCACAGTCAGACACAAAACTATGTAAAAAACATTCATGATACTTTGGATTTCCTAGCAAAAGTCAATTTTCGATACCCATCAGTCAGGGTAACATATACGTGCTATTAAATCCAGAATACAATGAACATTGTTGCTTATAGGAAGCCACTGCTGATGATGCACTGCTCAGCGTTCGAACACGTTTCTTATCGACGTAACATAGTGATACGACTTTAAATCCATGCAATGTCGTTACCATAGCGTCATTACGGTTTCTCCGACATGCACTTCGTGGCTAATGCTAGGCGATCCTCAAAGCATATCCTCCATTTTTGACGGTGTTTTCAGCGACCAAGTTTTCATATGATCGTTTCATAACTTATACATTAATAGATTCTCGCTCACCAAGCAACTGTGTTTAAAAGCGTGTCCTCTATGCTTGAATTATATTCAAATTAGAAAACTCGATAACGGAATGACACAAATATCGAATTTACTATATATTATCAAGTTTTGGATCATGCTAAGATATAATATACTGATGCTACAACATGATTTTATGTTATCTCTTCCGCGACCCGAAAGGATAGGCGGTTAGCGACACCACGGTTGACCGACCGGCATCTCTCCCTGGACAGGTCGAGTATGATTCGAAATGACGGTAAATATTTATATTACGAATTCATTTGTCATCCGTTTGTTTTCTGGAATCCTATCGTTAATCGCCTCGATCTGTTTTCACATTGCATGTTTGGTTCATATAAAAATCAAACTCGTATATTTGCTTAAATTTTGCTGAAACGCGTTTTCTTCATCTTCCAAGACTCACCATTTCATTTGACAGGAAACCTTTTTCCACTAGTAATACTGATTCTAATGAAGTTTGAAAAGCATTACCTAGCAGTTAAGCAAGTAGAATTCATCTAGCAGATCTGCTCAAGCATCAGACAGAATGCTGGTGAAGCCATAGATGGATACATTTGTATTGACGTATTCCTATAGTACCTCACTGTTCGAACTGCTCGAGTTGCACATCACCGTGTGCTTAAACAATGTGCAATTATGGACAGGTTCTTAGCACGGCAGAAATTTGCTAAATATATGCCATTTAGCATGGAGTATAAGAACAGTATATTTGCTATTACAGTTTTCCATTAATGCTCATCAGTATAGCACGCAAGTTTCCTTGGTTAGTCGACCGCATTCACGTGTTGTTGCTAGTGCGCGAATTAACCTTTGCCTGACTTCCAATATGCAAACGTTTACTACAATGGGAATCTATTGACGTACGCAGCCAGGTAGTCTAGGAATCACCATGGTAATATTCCAAAATAATTCATGTTATCCGGATTATACACCTGCATATGTGTACGATAAAGTAAGGACTGCTTTAGTATGACTTTATGCATATAAATCATTTCCGCGATGAAGTTAAACTTCATATTAACATTTCGTACGTTCTTACTTCAACTTTTCTGAAGCAAATTATAAAGCTAGCATAGGTGAAACGCAGACGACTCAGAAAGCTGAACTGCGGTGCTGCGTTGATTTCTAAAACGAATTGGTATAGTCATTTTCTAGACAGTCGTTTATATAGGCCGGCGACTATTCCTGTGTCATCCAGTCCGTAAACTCTCCACGGGCTGGAATGAGGGGAGGAAGGACATGACAGAAGCCTAATGAACTTGTGGCAGATTAATGCCTGAATTATGCCGTAAATTTCCTAAAGATGTTCAATTAGTTTCCTCTACTTCATATTTTCACCTAAAGCTGCACAACCCGACAACTGTATCCGCTTCGAAATTCATGTCAAAAACCAGGTTCCAATAAAGCTCGTTATCGACATGCGAGACAATCACCCAAAGGTTGGCGGACTCGTCAATTCGCAATTATTAAGTATTTTAACTATGAATCGAAAGGCGTTGATTTCAAATATACTATATAAAAAGTTTTAGTTCAAATCGTCGCCTCGTTATGCTATCAATATCTTTGGAAGACACTCTAAGTTTACTACAAGCGTAGCTGATCGATAATATAATTTGCAGAAAGTTTGTGACCGAGAATACGTTAATGGAAGTTAATCACCCTGAAAAAAAAGATTACGGCGCTGGACTAAGCAGGTCATTGGCATGTGATTTCTTCGTCTTTTTATTGTATATCGCGCCTAAACCCAACCATTCATTTGTTGAAAGCTCAAACTTTGCCCAAGTGATTAGTCTTAGACGAATAAAGTCTCCATAATTAAGGTGTTTATAAACATGCAGTTTCTAATACACAAAAAAGTTAAATTTATTCAATTAATCACAACCACACATTATAAGGTATTAAATCTCTGCTCTTACAAATCGCATAAATTTGATGATCATGTAATAATTAATTTGCTTATTTGCATAATTTTGGAAAAATTTGTTTAAGATAATGAAGCAGACCAAAGGTTCGTGTGAAATCGCAGAGTAAACAAAAGCGGTTTAGCAATCCGTTCCTCACATAACAGGAAAGCCCTAATCTGCCAACGACTGCGCAGAAGAGAATCGTTCGGTAGAAGACCAGTCATCCTTCTTTTGGAGAATCTGCTTCATGAAGTACTCGCCAGCTTTGAACGATGAGCGAACTAGCGGGCCGCTAGCGGTGTAGAGAAAACCGAGCTCTCGGCCGATTTTCTCCCAGTGTTCGTATTTGGACGGTTGGATGTACTCTTTGACCAAGAGGTGTCGCTTCGTCGGTTGCATGTACTGTCCAATGGTCAGGCAGTCAACGCCGTTATGCCGAAGGTCTTTCATGGTCTGAAGAACCTCATCATCCGATTCGCCCAGACCCAACATAATCGACGACTTCGTGATCAACTTCTTGTACGACTTTGCATGTTTCAAGCAAGCCAGGCTCTGATCATATTTTGCACGAGGGTCACGCACCCACGGCGTAAGGCGCCGGACGGTTTCTATGTTGTGCGCATAAACGTCGACGCCGCAGTCGCAGATCTCTTCAACACAATGAAGGTTTCCAGCAAAATCCGGCACCAGGCACTCGACGAGGATCTTCGCGTTCTGGCTTTTGATCATCCGAACAGTCTGTGCAATATGTGCCGCTCCGCCGTCTGGTAAGTCATCCCTGAAATTGTACATTCATTCAATATTTCTGAGACAGGTAAAAATTGGTACGATTATGTGCACAAGAATAGATTCGCCCTGAAGCAATAACTAAAACATAATAAAACCAGATGCAAAAAAACGTTTGGTTGAATTTATGAATAATAATGTCGCGCATATATGCAAACAGAAACATTTTGGTTAATAATTACTCGTAGTGTTCAAACCGAATTCATGTTCATATACTACCTTAACAGCAACAGAAAACACAGGCACTAAATCGAATAAAGTAACTTCAACAAGCAACACTATGATCATGCAAAACAAAGCTTTCTTAAGATTCACCGATGCATTACAAACATTAAAGTACCATGGAGCTGCGACATATTTAATGACCCTTTAGGTGTCCGAGAAACAAAACGGTGCTACGCCGCTTGCATCAATAATTAATTATGCTCCGACGATTTGCAAAGTGCAATAATCAAAGCAAACTAAACACATTTAACACTAAACACCACTTAGACTATATAACATAACATAATGTTTTTAAACTGCCGCAGCATTTCACTAGCGTAAAAAAGGCTGAAAAAAACTGTCAAGTAAAACTTACACATTATCGTACAAACCCTTGAAAACAAGGAATGTTCACTCTTGACCCAGTTTGACCCACAGCCGAAAGATCTTGAGACTGAATCCACACACTGATCACTGGCACTTCATACTCCCAACGTAAATCAATGGATATGATTATGTGGAAAGAAGTAGGACACTGTATTTTGAAATGACTAGCTAATTTAGAAAACAGCAATTCTAGCTCATTGCACTGAAATGAAGATGAGTACTGCTATATGCACTATATCAACAGGATATTCAAATCGGATATCCAATTTTGACTATTCGACGGAACATCTTTTCCAAGACTGAAAGCTCTTTTATCTCTGTTCGACAAAAGGAACGTCTAACTACATTACCAATCCAGCCTAAATAATTTTCATCAACAAAACGAGCAGCCACCATTCCATGTCTGACCTACCTTACAGGTGGTTCTTGATACTGATAGTGAAGTGTGAGGTATTTGTGAACCTTACTCTAGATTCAATAGTAACTGCGCACTTTCTCACTTTCTACTGAAATACTAAAAAATAAGTCAAAACTATTTTTCTAAATGCACAAAAGACATATTCAGTAACGGTGAAACCACATTGTGATTTATTTTCCTGATCTTCTTTGTCGGGAAATGCAAGACTGTGACAGCAGCCAAAATGCACCTGATACCGAACGAACGAAACCAGAAGGTTGGTTGCAGCTGAAATACGTTGTCAAGCAGTGGCCACCGTGGAGAAACCAAGACAAATCATTCAACAAAGCATATCACATATCTTCTCACGATCAGCATGCATGACCATCACACAG